TGATTTCGTCAACATTTGGTACTCCATGCATGTACCGCAAGTTTGATGTGACGAAAAATCTTCTTTTTGTATAGTGCTAAATTCTGGAAAATGGAGGAACTAAATATGGCCCAAGTGTTCAAACTAGGACCCCGTTGAAAGGGGACTCCAAAAAGCAGATGGGAAAGCTTGAATGAGCAATTATCGAAGACGAAATGACCATTTCGTCCTTGTAATCGAGAAGAGTTGTAACATTTAAGATTTAAGAGAGGGGTATTTTAGTCATTTTAGTATCTTTTATGAAGCCTAGGACCTCTATAAATACTCTCTCTGATATGTACAGTATGACCATGAAATAAATACAATCACGTACTTGTGTTCAAACTTGGTTTGGTGTTGTGTCACCCAACATAATTCATTCTATTTTTTTCCACTCGTTCTCATTTGCCATAGAAGATCCAAACTGGCTCTTATTTTGGTCTAGAGCTGACCCGAGTTTGTCAGAGAATGATGTGCGTGGTTAGAGCTGAATATCGAGCCAGCTCGGCTCGTTAATATTACGAGCTAGAGGGGTAGCTCGGCTCGGCTCGTTATCGAGCTCGAGCTGGCTCGTTTAGCTCGTGAGCTATAAAAAAATAGGACACATATTTATAATGTTTATGCTACATTAATTTTTGAAGGTGACGTTCACCATTATGCAACTATACATGATTAATACATATCATGTTCATAAAAAAATATCAACCATGCAACATAACTGGTCCATCCATGATCATGTAGTTCCAGCATACTAACTAGTTGCTTACCACCACAAAATTAGGAAAGTCCACATATTCAATGTCAGCATCATCATCTTCTCCCTGAAAATAATCCATAAAATCAACATTTAAGTACCACAACAATTATAAAATTAAAATTTATATAAAACAACTAAAATAAGGATTACGTACCAATAGAATAGATGTACACTTCATCTTCTGGATTCATGGTCGTGGACTGATATGCCTCAGCTCGTTTCAGCTCGTGAGCAGCTCGCGAGCTGGCTCGTTAAAATAGCGCTCAACTCATGAAAAAGTTAAAACGACCCAAGTCGAGCCGAGCTAAGCCGACCACGAGTTGAACAAGTTGACAAGCCGCGAGTATTTTGTCTAACCTATGCGTGGTTATGGATGCTGCCACGTACCAGTCAAACCTGCCATGCGTCACGTTAAAAACAAAACCTGCCATGTAAGCACTGTTAAGCATGTGTTTGGTTTTGATGATCCATCATTGATTTCTAATGTGCGGTGAGATGATATGATCTCTTGTTTGGTTGAGAAAGATGAGATCATCCTCAGATTTGTGTTTAGGCCGCGTTTAGTTCCACAGGATTCTAGAATTTGACACTATGCAAAAAGAAAATTTCCAGTTACATTAAATTTGCGGTATATGCATGGAGTACTAAATGTTGACGAAATCAAAAACTAATTGCACAGTTTGGTTGTACTTTGCAAGATGAACATTTTGAGCCTAATTAGTCAACAATCGGACAATTATTATCGAATAAAAACAAAACGACTTGGTTGAGAAAGATGAGATCATCCTCAAATTTGTGTTTAGTTTGAGGGCACTGGACATTGGATTGAGTGCTTCCGACACGTGGGTCCATCAGTCGGCCTCTCGTGCCTTGGATGGAAGAGTCGGATTCGTTTCTTGGAAGAATCAGTATAAACAGTTCCAAACGGGTTTACAGGGTAGAGAATCGGAGCGGAACTATTTCACTTTTCCTTCGTGAACGGTTGCCTGGTTTCACATGTGTTCGTTGTGCCACCCGATGCATGCCTCCTTTGTTTTGGTGAAAATTACAACAACTGCCACTGGTTCCCTTATCCATTCTCTTCACGCACTGTTGGGTAGATCGATCGACGCCGCCGTTCGTGCGATGAAAAACTTTTTTTTGAGCATATTAGCCAAAAGTGTATTTTGCTCATGGTTGTAGATGCTTTATTTTGTATTTAGTAACTCAAGAAAAATTCATCACATATCAAGGGCACTTTGGTCTATCCAAGTGATTCACCTCTGTTTAGAATCTGAATCGTGACAAATAGCCAAACAGTTATGGCAAGTGATTATGTTTCTCAGAGAAATGTTTCTACAGAGAATCTAAATCTGAATCCGAAACGTTTCTCATGCAATCTAGATCCCTACCAAATAGACCCTTGCTCTATGTTTTCTTCCACACGTTGTTCATCTTCTATCTTCCTATCCTAGGTCCACTGTTGCCTACATAGATTCCCGTGAGATCTCCGCCTGTGCACGGCGCCTTAACCATGTGAGTTAGCTCATCGTAATGGCTGGGGTAGAGTTTTCCTGCTCGGGTCAAAGCAGACCCCGTTGCCGCTATCTGGGCCTCTAGCGACCTTTGGCTCAAGCATGCCGACCAGAATTCAATTCACCTATGCGAGGGTAGAGAGGGCTTGTCCGAGGTGTAGCTGAGACAAAGCTCGTCTAATCTATTGCTTCGATTGGTGTAGACGCACAGCAGGAAGAGAGACGAGTCGATCCGCTCGATTTGAAGGGACGTGCTTGTCCCATGTATATTAGAGTAACAACCGATCCTTTTAGTAAGGTTACTAATAGCTTGTTCCCTCCACTCCCAATCAAGGCCCCGTTTGGTTCCCTGAAAAAACAAGCCGAAATACTGTTCCGACTGATTTGTTGTGAGAGAAAAATACTGTTCCGGCTAAAAAAACAAGCTGAAAAAGACAGATTATAAGAGAAGCGAATATAACCCAAGCTTGAAATTCAAGATCATCTTGTCCCCTTCTCGACCGTCTCAAAACAAATCAGTGTTTTCTCTCTCACAACATTTTAGTCAGAATAGTATTTTTCAGCTACTTTCAGCCAAGTTTTAGTAAGTCGAACGGGACCAATACGCTAGTTAGATCGTGTTTGGTTCACGGAATGGCACCGTGTGGACTGTGGAGCCATTTGATCCTGCATCCCATCTAAACCTAAACGTATTGTCTGGTTTGGTGTACGAAACCATGCATTATAAACATGCTGATGTCAGATGGACTCATTCTAAACCAAACAAACTGTTAATGTGTAACCCCATTCGACCACAGCTATCGAAAAAAAAGAGAGAAAAGAGAAAAGAGGAGGAATCCGTTTGGGATCGGTTGACATCCCAAGTCGTCCCAACCGAACCCAGCCTGTGTGGTGAGTTCTGAGTTGGTGATAAACCGTTAATTTAATGTAAGAAAAATATTATTTATTGATTAAAAATAAGTTAAACAAGTTCAACCGAACATAGCGTAGGCTGACACTAGTAGCCAGTTTGGTGCAAACAAGAAGAGCAGTGCACTGTGCACTGCATACCTTGACGGCTCGAGCTTGACCCCTAGCTACAAGCAGGATCGGCCTAGCCAGCACACGTTCACTAGATTTATAAGTTATATTTTTTTAATTAATAAATAGTATTTTTTTTCTCATATAATAAATCAGTCAACAGCCGTGGACTTATCAAGCGAAGCACGGGGCGGCGGCCCACTTGTACCATGACGGCCCACTTGTACCATGAATGAACAAGACTCAAAGCTGCGACTGTGCTCGTGACACTTGCAATGAATCCGATCTCGGATGGGACGTGTAGGTCCCTGTAGGTGTGACTAGTACAAGCTCTTTCCTCTTTATAGCCAGCACTAAACTGTACGTCCGTGATCGTGTTCGTCACCTGTCGTACAGTATCTTCCTGGTATATTCAGCAACGATTTGTTGATCGGCGGATATTGCGGACACGTCAAAAAGTAACAAGCCCGTTTGGTACGGCTTCACTTCACCTATAAAGTTTTTTTTGGGCTTCCGCTCCATGAACAGCTTTATGGATAGAGCTGTAGCCGTTTTGAAAAATCGTTTGACAAAACAGTTTCATATATAGTTTTTCTTAAAATATGCTCTCAGAGAACGCCATGTAGAATGAGATAAAGCCGAGAGAAGCCACTATTTTTGGCTCCTTCCCACCCCAAAGCTCTGTGATAGCACGTTTTTAGGGGCTTCATCGGTGGAGCCGTTTTATTTTATCCCGTTTGACAGAAAACGGCTCCAAGCGGCTCTGAAGCCGCTAGAGAAGCTCTGCCAAACGGAGCCTAAAGCTGGATCGATTCCAATGGGTAGACTGTTGTTTTTTCTTCTTCCGACGATGATGATGAAATTAGCACTTGCAAGCATTTACCATGTTCGCTCGTTGGTTTCAACCATATTTATTTAACCACCCAACAGTATTTTTCTCTCACAACAAACCAGCACCAGCTAATCCAAATCAGCCCAGAAACCAACCAGCGAACACGCCGATTGATTCCTGCTCATCGTCAAGAACCATGGATTTGTCCGTCTTCCACAGAAAAAGGGTCTCATGGATTGGTACTTGGACGCACGCGGGAAAGACGCAGAAGAGAGCAGCCATGGCGCATGAGTTCCCTTCATTTTTCTTTTTCAATCCATTCAAACAGCCTGTTCGCTGGTTGGTTTTTGGACTGATAAGCCCGACTGATACTAATTTATTATGAAAGAAAAATAATGTACCATAACTATGACTGATATCAGTCATGGTTGAAACCAACCAACGATCAGCGTGAAAATTTGAAATTCCGTCCACCCATTGCAAGGCTGCAAGACACGCCGACTCCCCGGCGGCAGAAAAACCTCCCGTGTCGTCCACTGTCTGCAGGTGCACCTGCAGTGCAGGGGGCCCTCCGGCCTCCGGCCTCCGGCGGGCAACCAAAAATTGACGTTTCTTGCCCGGAAATCAGACACGCCGCCGCGATCGCACCCACAAGGCCACCACCTAACCGTCGCTGACGAGGCAACCCGCTGGCCGTATAAATACTACTACGCACCGCCTGGCGTCTGCCACGCCACGGGCTCAGTTCGGCAGTAGCGTCAGCCGCACAAACAGAAACAGACTCGCCCGCCTTGCCACGCAACACAGCCCAGCCCAACATCTCCTCTCTGCTCTCCCTAGTCCATCCCTCCCCACGGACATGGCGGCGACGGAGGCCACCACGCTGACGGCGCTGCTCAAGGAGGCGGCGGCCGCCTTCCCGGCCCGCCGCGCCGTCTCCGTCCCGGGCAGGCTGGAGCTCACGCACGCCGCCCTCGACGCGCTCGTCGACGCGGCGGCCGCGCGACTCGTCGCCGACGCCGGCGTCCTCCCGGGCCACGGTGTCGCGCTCGCCTTCCCCAACACCGTCGAGGTCGTCCCTCTTCTTTCGAGTTCGATCGATCGATCATGTTCCTGCGCAGCGCAGCCCCAGAGTAGCGGGAGCGGGAGTGGGACCTGACGCGCGTGCGATCTGTATGCAGCTGGTGATCATGTTCCTGGCGGTGATCCGCGCGCGCGCCGTGGCGGCGCCGCTGAACCCGGCCTACACGCAGGAAGAGTTCGAGTTCTACCTCTCCGACTCGGAGGCGCGCCTCCTCGTCACCAACGCGGAGGGCAACGCGGCGGCGCAGGCGGCGGCCGCCAAGCTCGGGCTCGTCCACGCCGCCGCCACCCTCCACGACGCGGCCGGCCCGGTCCACCTCGCCGGCCTCCCGGCCCTGGCGAACGGGAACGGAACCAAGAGCAACGGGTCGCACCAAGGCGGCGGCGGTGGCGCGGCGGGGGGCTCTCCCAACGACAACGACCCGTCGGACGTGGCGCTGTTCCTGCACACCTCCGGCACGACGAGCCGGCCCAAGGGCGTGCCGCTGACGCAGCGCAACCTGGCGGCGTCGGTGCGGAACATCCGGTCCGTGTACCGCCTGTCCGAGTCCGACGCCACGGTGGTGGTGCTGCCGCTGTTCCACGTGCACGGGCTCCTCTGCGCGCTGCTGAGCTCGCTGGCGTCGGGCGCGTCCGTGGCGCTGCCGGCGTCGGGGCGGTTCTCGGCGTCCACGTTCTGGGCCGACATGCGTGCCTCGGGCGCCACGTGGTACACGGCGGTGCCGACGATCCACCAGATCATCCTGGACCGTCACGCGTCGCGGCCGGAGGCGGAAGCATATCCGGCGCTGCGTTTCATCCGCAGCTGCAGCGCGTCGCTGGCGCCGGCGATCCTGGAGCGTCTGGAGGCGGCGTTCGGCGCGCCGGTGCTGGAGGCGTACGCGATGACGGAGGCGTCGCACCTGATGACGTCGAACCCGCTGCCGGAGGACGGGGCCCGGAAGCCCGGGTCGGTGGGGCGGGCCGTCGGGCAGGAACTGGCGGTGCTGGACGAGGAAGGGCGGCGCGTGGCGGCGGGGAGCCCCGGGGAGGTGTGCGTCCGCGGGGACAACGTGACGGCGGGTTACAAGGGGAATCCGGAGGCGAACGAGGCGGCGTTCCGGTTCGGGTGGTTCCACACGGGGGACATCGGCGTGGTGGACGAGGAAGGGTACGTCCGGCTGGTCGGGCGCATCAAGGAGCTCATCAACCGCGGCGGGGAGAAGATCTCCCCGATCGAGGTGGACGCCGTGCTGCTGGGCGTCCCCGGCGTGGCGCAGGCCGTGTCGTTCGGCGTGCCCGACGACAAGTACGGGGAGGAGATCAACTGCGCGGTGATCCCGCGGGACGGGTCGGCGCTGCGGGAGGAGGAGGTGCTGGCGCACTGCCGGCGGAACCTGGCGTCGTTCAAGGTGCCCAAGAAGGTGTTCATCACCGACGACCTGCCCAAGACGGCCACCGGCAAGATCCAGCGCCGCATCGTGGCGCAGCACTTCGTGCAGCCGGCCAGTGCCTGATCGATGGATGATCCTTTTCGTGGTGCTGCACTCCTGTGTCGTCGGATTGGGATTTCGCTAGCAGTTTGCCGTTGTTATGTTGCCGCATTATTGTTGCGAGGTGGACATGGCCTGGAATGAAACAACGCAAGCATCCTCTGTCTGTATCGAGTCTCGTCGTCGCGCGGTTGTTCTTTACTTGCTTCTGGTCTGCGTGCGTGTCGGCTCATCTCCTGTTGTTTACCGGATGGCATGGCTCCAACAATCGGCGGCAAGTGTCAGGTCAGGCGTGCATTGATTTTAGTTTCTTTCTGTACCGGGTGATTTGTGTCATGTTCGTTTGCCAGATAAGTAAAGTACCGTCGGCTGATTTGTTGTGAGAGAAAAATATTATTTATGATTGAAAAAGTACGACTTATAAACCAAACGACCAAAGCGTGGGTCCCGTGATAAACGTGGCATATTCTGGAGTGTGCTACCCACATGGTCCACACCTCCTGTAGAAAGATATAAGATACAATTGTACGGAAGGTTATTTTAAATTTGACTAAATAAATTCGTATAAAAATGACTGATGTTTATCGTTCTAAGAAAAATAGCGTGATTTATAATTTTCATCTATACTATTGTCTGTAAATAAATTTTAATTAAATCTAAAATAGGATGAAGTACTAGGTCATAAAACTTGGAGTATATAGAATGTTCTTTTTCTGGAATAAAACGTTAGCGGCGACAGAATATAAAAGCATGGGAATGTCGTTATGTTTGCGGTCTCTTCGTCAGGGCAGACGACGAGCGAGGTTGACGTTTCAGCGGTAAAAGAAAAAAGAAAAAAAGAAAAAGGATGGAGCGTCTAGTCTTTTGGGCGGTGAGGTCGTGTTTGTCTTGTGTGGTGTCGTTGCTCCAACAGCTCTTGACAGCGACTAGTAGCGAAATAACGAGGGGTGTTTGGTTTTTCGTGCACTCCTAAAATTTATATCACATCAAATATTTAGATATTAATAAAAATATTAAATATATATTAATTATAAAATCAATTACATAGATGGATGTTAATTTTCTGGATGAATTTTTTAAACCTAATTAATCTGTCATTAGCACATGTTTACTGTAGCACTACGTTGTCAAATCATGGACTAATTAGGCTTAAAAGATTCGTCTCATAAATTAGTCGTAAGTTGTACAATTAGTTTCATAATTAGTTTATATTTAATACTATATATATATATATATAAAACATTCAATGTGACGGAAATTCTAACAGTTCCCGTAGAAACCAAACAAGCCTACGGTCAATCAACCAACCGCGAGGGGAACGAATATTCGACGAAACCATATAGCCGTCGCCAGGCAGGCGTACAATTTCTTTTCGACCTCGCTCGCCTTCACGCCTTGTTCGGTGCACCACACCACTTGATCCCTTTTGACCAGATTTCTCTCCGTCCCTCCCTGTTACTACACAAAATCAGCCCCCTAAAAAAAAAAACAGAATCAGAGATTCCTCTGTCCTGTCTAAAGCCTTCAGGATTCATTGGCTACTGCTACGTACAGTATCAACCAGAAAAATAGCCTGTTCGGTTGACTGTTTCGTTTCGTTTACGTGAGAAAGTCCTGTGGGCAGATTTGTGTGCGTGAACAGTGTTTATGTGAGAAAGCAGCAGCTGGCACACGCAACGGCTGCTCAGTTCAGGTTCAGATACCACACAGACACTGAGATACACAAGTTTTTACCACACCGTCAATGGGGCAACCGAGACAGATAGCCGTCTCCACTCCACAGACGACGAAAGGGATGCTCCTGCTCAGTTCAGTTTCAGAAACCACCACACAGGTTTTCATCACACCGTCACAGGGGTAAACCGAGACAGACAAGTCACCAAGGTCTCCATCAGACATTCAGACCGGCAACACAGCAATGCCTCCCGCACATCAGCTATAAACCCTACGTAGTATGTCCGTATTACACCAGTTCAGTTACACAAACACCACCAGTCAACGAAATCAGTGTCTCAAGCAAGCATGTCTGGAACCGAACCGAGCAGGACACCTGCCCGCCCGTCCGGTCCGCCACTCGCCACTCGCCTCTCTAGAGTCCTGTCTATACACCAAGCATACAACATCAGCGCCCCGCAACTGAGAATGTTAGCAGCAGCCGTGCGCGGCGATGGATTTACAGGGTGGTGGATGGGAGGGGGAGGAGCGGCGTGTCAGTGTCACAAGGCCAGGGCGAGCTCGGCCCACGCCAGCGATGACTCCTTGAGGATGGCGGCAGCCGACAGGTCGATCCCGTTCTCAAGCACGCCCGTGATGATCTGCATCGATGGCCTCTTGGACGGGTCTGGGTCGATGCACCGGCTCACCACGCTGCACAGCACCGCCAGGTCCTCGCTCCGCACGCTGCTTAGCTCGGGGTCCACCAGCTTCCCAATCTCCTCTGGCTGCTGGAGGTACTTGGTCGCCTGCGTGAGACAAGGTTTGGGGTTTTAGCACTGACAGTGACGACATTTTTTTTCTGCCAATGGATTCTTCTCTTCCCATGCATACTGAAAACAGTTTGAAAACATCCTCCGCGTATTGCACCCATAGTTTTTTAAATCTGCGGTGCCCATTTTTTCTACTTCGTTCTTCTTTTGCAGTCCAGTTCATGGCACTACGAAAATAGGATTCTATTTGTGAAGCAGGTTCCCATAGGTTTTATGTATAAAAAAAATCACAATGTAGGAATTAGCTAGATGATGAAGGACATAGTAGATAGATTGGCTCACCCAGTCCACCAAATAGCCTTTATCCTTGCAATATGGAAGCCGCCCGCTGATAATCTCCAGTAAAATCACTCCAAAAGCAAACGTGTTGGCTTGGATATCAGCTTGTTTATCCTCCACGGAATCCCCATGGCCAGGGAAAGAGGATTTGCTATTCAAGTGTCCAGGAGACTTCTCATGTCTCGAGATGAACTGTCTCGAGAACATCATCTTCCAGCATTCAAAATCAACCAGCTTCAAAGAGACACGTAGTAGAAACAAATGACTGTCTGACCAAGGTGGAGACTATTTGAGCATAAAATAACTAAAAGTAATAAATGTAAGACAACAAAAACATGTAGCAGACAACACTATTTAGTATTTCTGAAGAACAGAACCAGATGTAGTCTTCAGCTGCTGAATCAACTAATACGGATGTGCAGGTCATACCTTTGGAGTAAAATCTTCCGTAACGTACACGGAATTCGAATTAAGCTCAGATATAGCAAATGGGGGCTGCAACTCAGTATGCAGGTATCTTAACCCCTGGGCAATCCCAATGGCTATCTTCATTCGCCTGAGCCAAGATAACTGGCCTCCTTCTCCATCTAAAGAAAAACATTCACAATGAAATAGAAATCTGTTAGACATGAAATAGGGCATCGATCAGGCTGCAGGTAACTAGCATCTAGCAAAAAGAGTAAGACTTACAATGTAGATGCTCAAATAAGGTACCATTTGGTGCATACTCGAAGACTAGCATCCTAGAGAATGGATCACTCTCCCTGCAGTAACCTAAAAACTTTGCTATGTTCTCATGATTCAATCTTGCCAGATCGATGACCTGATAATATCATCCCGTTTAGTATCCAGAAAAATAACTGCTTGAATCCCTTGATCTCATATAACATACCTTGTTTTGGTAAAAGAGTTCATGGTGGCTAGTCCATTGACCTTCAAAGGCGCATAACGATATGACAGAAACTTCAGGTCCATCCTTCATGGTTCCTTTGTAGACTACTGTCTCTGGCGATGAGCCAATGATGTTGCTAAAATCCTCACAAGCTACTTCAAGCTCCTGGCGACTTAATTTTGGTAAACTTTTCAGCATATCAGAATCTGGAGAGAACATGGATACATCAACCAAAATAATTGGAAAGCACATTAATCGATTCATCAACTGTTCCTTTGAGGAATGTACTTAACACTTACCAATCAACACTGTTATCTCATCACTCCAACTTTTTGATCGATTCCATGATGATATTCTTATAGAAGGCTTCAGCTTGCAACTTCTAGAAGCAGTAACGATACCAGTAATCACAAAAACAACCAGAAGAACACCAGTTGCAATTTCTAAAACAAGAAGCCAAATTGGTTGCTGCATTTTGTCATGCTTATTATGTCCAGGATGTTTGAATCCATTTGTGCCACCTCGCAGGCCAGTAGAACCACCTATACAAAGAGCAAATTCGTGCTCAATGGGGGTTGCAAGAGTGAATTCGTGCTCAATGGGGGGTTGCAAGCAGAGTGATCTTGGGAAACTATGAAATGTTACTCAAAGGGGAAAAAAGAAAAAAATGATGCCCGGCGTGACATAGCAATTGTATACTCTGAAGACAACATCTAGAGGTATATACCATGGATTGTCACAACAGATGTTTAGTATTTCAGTGATTAAATCAGCCCAGTGAGGTGCAACATGCAACAGTAGACCAAATATATTAATTGATAGCAACTGCTGGGTGGTAGAAAACAAAATACGCACTTATACACATTTGCAAAGCTCGTTGTTGGACAGAGTACTCATCCTGGAAGCAGTTCCCTTGGAAACTTGACCTGCAAAAAGGCCTTTTAAATGGGCAAACTTAATGAAATACAGAAATAGTAGCAAGTACATCACATAATAGTACCTTGGAAGATATTTCAAGCAGGGTGGAATTTTTCCAACAAGAAAGTTGTAAGAAAAATCCCCAACATATAATCGGGGAGAAGGGCATAGTCCATTGTGAGCTGTGGATCTGATGGAGCAAACAAATACTGGTTCAGATAGAGTAACATAATATCAGGACATTGTGAAAGGTAGCTTTGTGTACTGTTCTCTGGCTGGAAAAGGCACTAACAGTGACAGATGGTAATATTAAGTTGAATGCTTATATTTGATAAGTATTGGAAATATAAGTATTTGCACGCATCTATTATGATCATTGCTCATTTTCTCTGAAGTTATTTTTATTTTGTTTGTTTTCCATGAGCCACGAAAGTTTTGATGCTGCAAATTAAACTTTAATTTGGCTATACATGTACACATTGCATGGATATAGAGTAACACTGCCATACTAGTCTATAAAATTTAGCATAGATAACTCTGGTACAGTACAGTTTGAAGCACCGCACAGAAGAGGGGTTAGGAGAAGTCACCAACCCAATATTTGCAGCAGGAGAAAAACTGGCAGTATTGCTTCCTGGAATCGGTCCCTTCAATCTATTCCTGTCCAACCTAAGTTCAACGAGATTCTGTAGTTTTCCCAGCTCTGACGGTATACTCCCAGTCAACCCATTGGAATGGAAGTTTCTACATGACATGAATAAAGCAGAAGCTTTCTCGTTCAGATACCAAAGATGATGTCAAACCACAACAGATAGTTACAAATGCAAAAACAATACAAATGTTGCTTACATTACGCTCACACTGCTCAAGCCACCTAACTCGGAAGGGATTGGGCCAGTGAGTCGATTAACGCTCAAGTCCAGAACCCTCAGGTTCCTCAGTGAGCCAATTAGTTTTGGAATTGTGCCAAAGAGCAGGTTATGATCCAAATACCTGTCCAGAAAATGAGAACAATTTCAGAGAAACATTATAACCAACTTCACAAAAAACTAGCTGAAACAACATAGAAAAGGAACATACAGCTCTTGCAAGAAACTAAGCCGCCCAAGTTCAGGTGCGATGAATCCCTTGAGAGATGAGTTTGATAGCTTCCTGCAAGATGCAAAGTCCAAATCACGGTCATCAACAGAAAATCCATTTGTAAAAGATTTTGACCTTAGTAGGCAAGTACAAAATGTTGTTGGCCTTTCGTTGTGAAGTCTAAACCAAACCTACTGATCAGTATTAAGTAGTGACGACATCTAACTGGCAAATCCCACTGCATCTTTTGAGCTGTTTGCACATGCACTATCAATATCAACTATACCAAAACATCTACATCAGAGGCCAGAGCTGCAAAGGTGAAAGGACCAGCTAGTGGCGGTGGTTAAGTACCAAACAAGCCTTCACTTGCATACCTAATCCTATTGGTTCGAAGCTTTAAGTAACTAAAGCTCTTTTCTCCCCACCTCTCCACTCAAGTACCCAGCAGCAATTAGCAAGTTCTGGCACTACCCAGCTGCTAACTGAGTGCCAAGCAAGCATGAAGCAGACCATGGACATTGAGATCTACTAGGTCGAACGGGTGGAGTTCCTTACAGGGAGATGACGGAGCCCTGGGGCGCGGAGCAGATCACGCCGCGCCAGTCGCAGGCGTTGCCATCCACGTCAGTCCAGTCCGAGAGCACGGAGTGAGGGTCCTCGATGATGGCGCGCTTGAATGCCATGAGCGCCGACACTGGCACAAATCCACGCGTCAGAGTCAGGCGGAGGAAAAGATTGGCGGTTACTTGTTTCACAGGAGCACAGCGAGACCAGATGGGGAGAATTTAAAATCCGGATTTGCTTAGCGGCAACCGTTAGTGTCACAACAGTGTCACGAGCTCTCAGATCAGGAAATGTGAGTGCGAAAAGAAGATTTTTTTTCGAAATTTGCATGCTATACATGGAGAAATTTCAATATTTGACCCACAATAAAAAAAAAAGTGTTGCATTTGGCAAGAATGAAGGCCTGAACTCTGCAGAGAGCAGCAGATCAGGACGCAAAATCTGAAGAACGGTTCGAAATCAGGTGGAGAACAGAAAAGGAACTAAATTGGAACATATCTCCCAGAAATGGAAGCGACAGGGAAGCCCATATTATATAGCCGTTCGAACAGAACCTCGACAGCTCGCCGGGAAAAGCCAAGAAAAGCGATAGCACTCACCGTCGGTGCCCATGGCAGATGCTGCCGAGCATTGTAGGAACACCACCCCGCAGTGCAAGGCAAGGAGGACCAGCAGGAGGCTCGGCGCCGGCGCCGGCGCCGCCTCAGCACAGCGCCTCGTCATGGGCAAGTCTAAGCGGCGGCACCGAGCTCGTGCCAAACCCGCAACTAATTGACCCGGATTGATCGCGGTGAGCGAGCGACCGAATTCACGGAGCCATGGCGCAGAGCTGCTGCTGCTGCTAGGCTGCTCGGGCACGAACCGCCGCTTCAGCACGGCCACGTGGGTGTGTGTGTGTGGTGGGGGGGGGGCGCGGCGAGACGGAGGTGGAAGGAGCGGTGAGGTGGTTGGGGAGTGAGTGGGAGCAGTTAGAGTAAAGAGAGAGCGAGGAGCGGCGCCGGGGAGAGCAAGGGAAGCAGACGCCGCCGGGGGAAGGCGCAACCGCGCAAGCGGCAGAGGAGGAGAGGAAGAAAGCAGAGGATGTGAGTAGAGAGAGAGATAGGGAATGTCGTGTAAAATCTAGTGGGCGGAGGAATTAAAGGGCGGCGTCTCCTCGGTGGGAGGGGATCGGAGGAGGGAGGAAGGTGGCGGAGTAGTTATTGCGCGCACTAACATAATCAAAGCAGGAATGAGCATAATCACTGATTTGGGAGGCATCAGCATCTCTCTTTTCTTAAGACTCATTATTTATCGCGTGGCAGTCCTGGAGTAGCTTAGGCTGTAAATGTCAATGCAGCCCGAGGCACGACGCTCCGGCACGAACCACGCTATTTTGGTGCGACACAAACACGGCACGGCCCGATGGTTAGCGGGCTCGGGCTGGCCCAGCCCGGTGTTGCAGGCCGTGCCTAGGCCGCTACTCAGGCACATGGGCTGGCATAGCACGGCCCGACTTTTACAATTAGGCACGACTTTGGCCCGGTGACTACAGTGGCCTAGCAACTTGCTAAGAGCCCAACTTCATTTTCTGGTAACCCTACTGCCTACTTCATTTCCTCCTCCTCCTCCCTCCCCCCGCCAGACTCCCCATGCGAGTCGCTTCCAAATCCCGCTTGCCTCTCGCCATGGCAGCCACATCGCTCCTCCACGCCTGCCCGCCCATGACCCCAGAAGGGCGGCAAGAATGATGGCGGCCTCCACGCCTCCTCTCGCGCGACTCCCTCAGCCCACGCCAGCGCTCCTCGCCCCTCCTGCTCAAGCAGCAGAAAGCAACGCACGCGATGGTGGCAAGCGCATTGGCCGGCCTCCACGCCTCCTTCGGATCTAGGTCTAGGGTGTCGGCCTCCTCCACATCTAGCTCGAGGTCGAGGATGTCGACCACCTCCGGATCCAGCTCGAGGTTGAGGACGTCGGCCACCTCCGGATCCAGCTCGAGGTCGAGGACGTCCGCCACCTCCGGATCCAGCTCGAGGGCATCAGCCTCCACCACGCCTTGCGCCTTGGCATCCTCCTCCCCGTCCTCCGTTCCCACCCCCTCTCTCTCTCTGCTATTTGAACTCTGGTGGCCCGTCCCATATCCCGTGCTTTCGGGTTTGCCGGCTGGCTTGGTTGGCTCGGCTCGAAAACGGTGCACAAAGCCGTTAGTTCGACTGCTGGTCGCACGACGCCTCGGCATGGGGACGGGGACTGGCGCACGGCGTGCCGGCCCGACCCTCGAGGCCCGTCTTGCAAGGCTGGGCCGACGGGCCAGCCCGTTGGCCATCTATAGCCTAGGCCTAGGGTTTTGTCCTAGTTTGACATGGTTTCTTTGGAAAATATTTCACCTAGGGCTGGGCTTATTTTGTTAATCCTCACGTCAAGGGAATTGAAGAAGATTGAGGTGGCTTAAATCCTTACGAGTCAAAATTCCCATTAATCGCCATCAGTCTCCTCCAATCTTCTTGGTTTGGAGATTTATTGGACAAGCCATGGATGAAATAGTGGAAGAGGCTATTGAAGCAATATATAGGACTCGTTTGGCAGAGCTTTTGGAGTGGCTCCGGCTCAAGTCGAAATCCTACAAATTACTATCAAGAAATGGCTTCCACAAAGAAGAATGGAGGAGCTAGAGCCATTTTCCTGTTGAGCTGGCAGGGCTACAAAAACGTGGGTTCTCTCGAATCCTCTTTACAAACTTGGAACAAATTATAACAAAGTTACCACTAAAGCCATTTTTGCCAAATGTTTTCTAATTGGTTTCATCGACCGGAAAAGAGATTCCTTGTCCTAACGAGAGGCCCCCGAGCGCTCCCGACGGGCAACTCGGGAGGCGACCCCCCACCTTCGGCGCCGGAACCCCGCCCCGCCTCCTTCCCACCGGCCGCCGTCGCCGCCATACGGCGTGCGACGGCGATGGCCCGCGGTGGGTTCGAAACGCGATACCCGTGCGCTGCTCCGCCTACCCCTCCCCCGCTCTCACCTCCACCCCCCTCCTCTTCCCCTTCAACTCTGACCAGATCCTAGGGCCTGGTTCTGCGCTCGGGGCTGCAGCGGCCGGATCTAGACGGCCATGGCGTGCGCTCGGCGGTGGCCCTCCTACGGCTGCATGCGCTCGTCGACGTCTGCGGGTGCCGTTGACGCGCCGGCCTGCGGCTACGGTGCTGCTGCCTGGCCCCGGCGGCGGCCTGTTGGGCTAGCCCTGTGGCGTCAGATCTGGCCGCAGCCAGGCGCTCCCTGGTGTGGTTGGCGGCTAGGCTGGTGGCGCTGGGTGCGCGGGTGGCGCTGGGGCTGTGGGCCACCTCTCCATGCATGGCCTCGGCTCCACGGGCGTCCGTCCGCCCCTCATCCCCGACACCTACCTTCTCCGGTGAAACGGCCGGGCGGCGGGGTGGCTCCGGGCTCTGCCCTCCACGCCCTGGGGCTACTGCTGTGCGCCTACCCCTCATGGGGGCGGTGCTTCTAGTTGCATGGTGCTCTGGGCGAAAGCTATGTCCGGTTGCGGCCGGGCGGACGACGGTGACGCCTTTGGCGCCACATACCTCCCTGGAGGCGTCATTCTTCGAGCCCCATGCTCCTGTGCTACCTGCGCTGGATTCTGGGTGAAAGCCCTGCCTTAGAGGCCTCTAAGGCTAGCGGCCACTGCATCAATGTCACTGCCATGGGCGTCCTTCCTGAAGGTGTCGCTGAAGAATCGGCCTGTTCCCTGTCGTCGGTTCCTTGAGGAGTCCCTCACTATGCCTGTTGTGGTCGTCTCATCTAGCTTTGGTCTGTCCTGTAGCTGTTGACCTTACCCTATTTGTTGTCATGGATATCGTAGTAGATGCTTTGCCACTACTGCTTATCCCCCCGCGGATGTTTGCCCGTTGGTTGGTCGTTGGCGGATGCTTTGCCACCATTGTCGTTGGCCTCCTCTCTTGCAGATGCTTTGCTGCCGAGAGTGACCTGGCCCTGCCCCGCTACGGATTCTTTGTCGTAGTGGATACTGGCGCTATTTCACCGGCGGATGCTTGGCCGCTGGTTGGTTCGTTGGCGGATGCTTTGCCGCCGTTTGGTTTGTTGGCGGATGCTTTGCCACCGTTGCTGCTGGAAGTGTAGGCGACCATTGCGATGTTGTATCCTTTCTTCTTGCAGGCTCAGTTCGTAGGTTTTAAGTGTCGTGGCCAGTCGTCCGCTTTTGTATCATTTTCTCTTGTTCTTAGTTTCTGCTCCAGGTCACACACCACTTGCTTCGTGGTTTGTAATCTGTGCTATGAGGGTTCTCTCGTAGCTGCGTCGTGTATTTGCTTGGATGTTCTCTGCTTCATCTTAATGAAATATGTGCTACAGTACACGTTCGAGAAAAAAGAGAGAAGTTGTTCACGAAAGAATCTAGACCGAAGCCTTACGTAAGCCTTACGGAAACACCCTTAGATGGCTTCACCTTTGTAGCAGGAAAAGCAGCTCCTCCCATTTAGAACTTTTCTCATGGAACCATTTTTTGAGTTGGCGTTGGGAGGGCTTCACTCAGAGTTAAAGGTAAAGTCTCTTAAAAAGCCTTGCCAAGTAGGACCTTCGTTATAGCCGTTTTAGCCAGAAATTTAGAAAAGCTACATTTAGATAGTTTTACCTTTTGTAGCAAGAAAAAAATTTCTCTCCTCTTCTTTAGTTTGTCTCATGAAACTGTGTCTTGAATTAGAGTTTGCCAGGACTTCACATAAGAAGTTAATTAGTTAAAGCTAAAGTCCCTCAAACAGCCTGCTAGACAGGGCTTTAATAACTATTATAAAAAGGAATAGTATCAGTACTAATTTAATCTCCCGGCAGGATAGAGTAGACTCGCCACTTGGGACTCCTGTCTGTCGTTTGCACTGATCTTTTTTTTTTTTTTTTGCATTTTTGCTTAATTTATGTTAGCTCCCGTCTGATTCGTCAAAAATGTGTGGGTTTGACTGGTCTGTGGCCTCTCCCTTTGTTCTTTGCACTTGTGGACCTCCCATTTCGCCATTTGTTACTTGCTACTTACCGAGCATCTCAGAATTCATGATCCGTCCTGTCACTTTGGATGCCATGCCTATCCAGCGATCCTTTGAATTTGCGGTCGCCCGATTCAGCCTTCTTCGACATAGGATACGGCAAATGAAAAAAAAAAAAAACGGTAAAAAAAAAACTTTCTAACCCATAATTTCTATGAGTAATAATTATTTTATCTTTCTCTCCCAACTCCATCTTCTTCTTTCAATGAGAGTGCAACAAGAGCTCTCTAAAAACTGATGGTTTCTCCCCAATATCGATTTCATGGTTTCTTTGTGCATTGGGTCAAGAGTAGACCTGATTTCTTTATGAGGAAGCCATTTCTATGATTTTTACTCTCTTTCTTCATTAATTACGTTGTCATGTCAGCGTTTTGCCTACGTGGTAAGTCATTTAATGAGGATAGAAACCATCATCAATACACTATTGGGACTGCCCTCGGCTTCTATAGACGGCATCCTGACACTGAAACCGTGGTCCGTGCCTCCGTGGATGAGTTTTTTTTAAAATCCGTGGATGAGTTTTGAGAGGCTACCCTTGTGCGGTTGTGGTTTGGGCTTGTTTGGCTTATAAGTCCTATTTTTTCAGTCAATGAACAATATTTTTCTCTCACACCAAATTAGTCAGTAGTACTTTTAGCCATGGCTTATCAGCCAAACAAGCCCAAACAAACAGGGCGGTGGTTTTCACTTTAG